CTATTCCTTTTACCAGTCAACCCGACAGACATTATATCAATAATTCAATCACTGAAAACCAAAGCTTGGGACATTAATGAAATACCATATATGATATATGGGAGTGCTGCCCCTGCTCTTGCACCACCCATAGCTCGGCTATTCAATAAATCTCTAGAGTGTCATACTTTTCCTGATATCCTTTAAAAAGCAAGAGTGACGCCAGTTCATTAAGGAGGCGAGACAGCTGACATAAATAATCACAGACCAATATCAAGTCTACCTATACTTTCAAAAATATTTAAAACAATTATTTACAGACAGCTCTATTCCTACTTTGTAAAACTCAACATATTAAGTCCCTGCCATTTTGGTTTCTGTTCCCAAAAAGAGTACCAATGATGACATTATTAGTCTGCTTACTATAATCTACACAACCCTTGACAAAAATGATTTTCCAATTGGCCTCTTCATTGACCTGAGAAAGGCCTTTGATACTGTAAACCACAACTACCTCATACTTAAACTTCGCCACTATGGTATCCGAGGCCTTGTTCTGGACTATACTCGTTCCTGTCTCAGTGACAGACACCAATATGTAGCCATCAATAACACAGCCTCCCCCACTCTACCATTGACAGTAGGAGTGTCACAGGGCAGCAGCTAGGGACCTCTCCTATTTCTTATATACATCAATAATTTGCCAAATGTTTCTAACCTTCTTAAACGTATACTATGTGCTGACGATACTACCTTCATCTATTCTAACCCCCCCCCCACACACACTAAATAATATTGTTAATAACGATTTTAAAAAAAGTCCACAATTGATGTCAACCAATAAACTCACACTAAACATAGAAAAGACTTACTACATTTTATGTGGTAGTAAATCATCAAATCAAATTAAAATTCTGATAGACAATGTTAACATTAGCAATAAAAACGAGGGGGAAGTTCACTTGCCTATACATAGACAAGAGACTCAACTTCATCACCCACATACAACACATAGCCAAACAAGTCTTAAAAACGGTCGGTATACTTTCTAAAATCACATATTATGTTCCCCACTCTGGTCTTCATCCATTATGCTACGCAATAATCTTAGATACGGTATCTGTGCATGGAGTTCAACCACTGTAAATTACCTCAAGCCTATCATCAATCAACAAAACTCTGCTATCAGAATTATAACAAACTCTGTCTTCAGACAACACACAGCCCCTCTGTTTAAATCTCTCAACATGCTAAACATACACTCACTTCACACATTATACTGTGCTCTTTACATGTACAAAACCTTGTTCCTAAATGCTAATCTTGATCTGAAACTTTTCCCTGACAGGTGTAATAGAACCCATGAGCAACACACAATAAATAAATATATCTTTGACACCCCCAGAGTCAAACTAAATCTATGCAAACACTCCATGCAAATAAAAGGACCCAGTCTTTGGAACTCACTCCCTGATGAATTAAAAAATTGTCCAACCTATGCACTATTCAAAAGTAAAACCAAAAAGTACCTCATTTCATCCCCCATAGTTTCCTACCTTGTGTTTTAAACTCACAGTGTATCTTGTACTACCCACTTCCCCAATATTAGTACTTAAGACATATATCCTTACCAGAGTAATCACCTCTGTCAACTTATATTGTAGTTATTTGTTGATATAAAACCTTGCTACAATGTATCCTTTCAACTTACCTGATATGTTAGATTAAGGACCTGCCTGAAACGCTATACGTGTTAGTGGCTTTACAAGAATGTAAAAATACCAATCTAATGTATTCTCACCAACCCATTGTACCTTCTTGTGAATAAATTATTATTATTATTATTATTATTATTATTATTATTATTATATACCAGATTCAATGAAATAATTACGTAGTTGATTGTACAACAGGCTGGGAGGTCTTAAAATCTTTTACATTTTCACAATCAATGAAAATGATTGATTGTGAATGAATCAATGTTCAAATGAATGAATTAAAGGTTTGTCACAGCGTTTACAATCTGAATATTCTGGATGTGGCTCAACCTCACTAACTTGCCAGATGTGCCTATAGTCAAGGCGAATTACCGCAATGTCTTCAAGGAACAGTCTGGTTCGATTACTATACTGACCATACAAATACCTATTATGGCAAATGTTGCCATAGCTTTTAATACTCCAGCTTTCAGATCTTTGAGTCATTTCTTAATTCTTCAAAATCTGAAGTAATCTCATTAATTCGCATGTTTTTAATAATGGCATCAGATGGTCCAAAGGAATAATTTATGTGTTTTTCCCTGAAAGTCTCAGTTGACCTCTGGAGTGTGTTTCGCGTTCATTGTTCCTGTTCCTCTGATAATTGTCTTCTGTATAACGTAAACCTCCATTTAGGACCAGTGCCAAACTATTTGACACCTTAGGCAAGGCCAACTGCGTGCAAAACAAAAAGCCAACTTCGATTTTCGAAAACAAATGCTTTGTAGAAAAGGTGAAAAAGCGCAGAACTTGAGGCTGCTTGATTAAGTTTAAATTGTATGAATACGTAATACATCAATCTTTGTCCCAGAGGCAAGTGCTGCGTCCCACTGAGGTGTGTGGCCTTGGTGGTGGCCTACACTGGCCCCCGTGGTGTACCTGGGGCCACCGTGGTGTACCTGGGGCCCCCGTGGTGTACCTGGGGCCCCCGTGGTGTACCTGGGGCCCTGTGGTGTACCTGGGGCCTTGTGGTGTACCTGGGGCCCTGTGGTGTACCTGGGGCTCCGTGGTATACCTGGGGCCCTGTGGTGTACCTGGGGCCCCCGTGGTGTACCTGGGGCCCTGTGGTGTACCTGGGGCCCCCGTGGTGTACCTGGGGCTCCGTGGTATACCTGGGGCCCTGTGGTGTACCTGGGGCCCCCGTGGTGTACCTGGGGCCCTGTGGTGTACCTGGGGCTCCGTGGTATACCTGGGGCCCTGTGGTGTACCTGGGGCCCCCGTGGTGTACCTGGGGCCCTGTGGTGTACCTGGGGCTCCGTGGTATACCTGGGGCCCTGTGGTGTACCTGGGGCCCCCGTGGTGTACCTGGGGCCCCGTGGTGTACCTGGGGCTCCGTGGTATACCTGGGGCCCTGTGGTGTACCTGGGGCCCCCGTGGTGTACCTGGGGCCCCCGTGGTGTACCTGGGGCCCCTGTGGTGTACCTGGGGCCCTTGTGGTGTACCTGGGCCCCCGTGGTGTACCTGGGGCCCCGTGGTGTATCTGGGGCCCGTGGTGTACCTGGGTCCCTGTGGTGTACCTGGGGCCCCCGTGGTGTACCTGGGCCTCCCCGTGCTGTACCTGGGGCCCTCGTGGTGTACCTGGGGCCCTGTGGTGTACCTGGGGCCCTGTGGTGTACCTGGGGCCCTCGTGGTGTACCTGGGGCCCTGTGGTGTACCTGGGGCCCTGTGGTGTACCTGGGGCCCCGTGGTGTACCTGGGGCTCCCGTCGTCCAACTGGGGCCCCCGTGGTGTACCTGGGGCCCCGTGGCGTACCTGGGACCCCCGTGGTGTACCTGGGGCCCCGTGGCGTACCTGGGGCTCCCGTCGTCCAACTGGGACCCCCGTGGTGTACCTGGGGCCCCGTGGTGTACCTGGGGCCCCGTGGTGTACCTGGGGCCCCGTGGTGTACCTGGGGCCTCGTGGTGTACCTGGGGCCCCGTGGTGTACCTGGGACCTCGTGGTGTACCTGGGGCCCCGTGGTGTACCTGGGGCCTCGTGGTGTACCTGGGGCCCCGTGGTGTACCTGGGGCCTCGTGGTGTACCTAGGGCCTCGTGGTGTACCTGGGGCCCTGTGGTGTACCTGGGGCCTCGAGGTGTACCTGGGGCCCCGTGGTGTACCTGGGGCCCCGTGGTGTACCTGGGGTCCCGTGGTGTACCCGGGGCTCCGTGGTGTACCCGGGGCCTCGTGGTGTACCTGGGGCCTCGTGGTGTACCTGGGGCCCCGTGGTGTACCTGGGGCCCCTGTGGTGTACCTGGGGCCCCCGTGGTGTACCTGGGGCCTCGTGGTGTACCTGGGGCCCCGTGGTGTACCTGGGGCCCCGTAGTGTACCTGGGGCCCCGTGGTGTACCCGGGGCCTCGTGCTGTACCTGGGGCCCTGTGGTGTACCTGGAGCCTCGTGGTGTACCTGGGGCCCCGTGGTGTACCTGGGGCCCCGTGGTGTACCTGGAGCCTCGTGGTGTACCTGGGGCCCCGTGGTGTACCTGGGGCCCCGTGGTGTACCTGGGGCCCTGTGGTGTACTTGGGGCCTCGTGGTGTACCTGGGGCCCCGTGGTGTACCTGAGGCCTCGTGGTGTACCTGGGGCCCCGTGGTGTACCTGGGGCTCCGTGGTGTACCTGGGGCTCCGTGGTGTACCTGGGGCCTCGTGGTGTACCTGGGCCTCGTGGTGTACCTGGGGCCCCGTGGTGTACCTGGGCCCCCGTGGTGTACCTGGGGCCCTCGTGGTGTACCTGGGGCCCCCGTGGTGTACCTGGGGCCCCGTGGTGTACCTGGGGCTCCCGTGGTGTACCTGGGGCCCCGTGGTGTACCTGGGGCCCCCGTGGTGTACCTGGGGCCCCGTGGTGTACCTGGGGCCTCGTGGTGTACCTGGGGCCCCTGTGGTATACCTGGAGCCCTGTAGTGTACCTGGGGCCCTGTGGTGTACCTGGGGCCCTGTGGTGTATCTGGGGTCCTGTGGTGTACCTGGGGCCCCGTGGTGAACCTAGAGCCCCGTGGTGTACCTGGGTCCCCCGTGGTCCACCTGGGGCCAATGGGCTACATTACACATCAAAACCAATCCCCCTATGCACTTTCCGACATTTTATGATCACTGACCTAATTACATACTTTGTATACCTGGAGACCTATGTCTTCCACAACGGTGATAATGTCAGTGAACGGCTCCATTTTCACTTCGCGGTGCTTGCTCAAGACCATAGTACAGGCTCAGTGTACTTACACTGAGAGCGAGGTACATCCCCAGCGGTAAATAATTACCACGAAGAAGCTCCCTGGCAGTAGAACATACCTCATCGTCGTCTGTGGATGGTGAGGCGATGTCAACACTACACACACTCACAGGAGTCCCCTGCTCTCTGGGGCGAGCGCGCCTCACCACCTCTATATATATTCCCGCCCGCAGCCGCCACCTCTCAGCTTGGATATTATAATGGAGTTGTCAGCCAGAGAAATATCAGCGGTGGATAACGCGGGTGTAAATGTTTCCACTGCACCATTTTCCATGGCTCGACTACCATACTGCTGGAATTTGTGAGAATTAGTAAACATTTTATAAACTTAATTTCGGTAAAGTCGGCAACTAATTTCCTCAGTGGTCACGTGACAAAATTTCCCAGGTAGCGAGGTGACCAGGTTGAATAGTGAGGTATCTTGATATCTTGATTTAAAAGGGATGGAGTAGAGGGGGGGGGGAGAGATATCGTTATACAATAATTGTTGCTTTGATGACTGTTGCGATACAACACAGGGGGTAGGGATGTATGGGGGCAAATGGATACTGCAACGATGTCACTCTCTGGTTATTGGATGATATACTTATATAATAGTGGCACGACCCAGCAGCAAGAAATCAAACCTTCACGATAAAATATCGCCAAGCTCTGATTCGGAATCAGATACACAAGGCAGAAAATGAAATCAAAGACAACAAAACGCAACTACTTCACGCCACAAACCAACGGAGAAACAGCAACATCGACGAAAACCTCCGTACTCGTATCGAGCAACACCTCGACATCCTCACAGATCGACATCACCACAGTACCGAAACCAGGATAATCAAGAAACTAACAACATTATATGGAGGATCTATGGCGATTCCACGACCAAGAAACGGCTTCCTGAACCATGCTGGAATCAACCTCACTGAGGACCAAGTCACTCTCCTAAATCTGGGTATAAACTGTCACGTTATGTCCAGACCAAGTGAGATGGCCCGGAAAGTGGAGTTGGAGATCCTGTTGGACGACATATTCGACCTCGAGACACAAAAGAAGGTCACCACCAGAGAAACTTTGCAAGCAGACCTTATTGCAGAAGGAGGAAAGATTTGAGGCAACTACAGAAGCACCATACTGTCCCCCGAGCTCAAAGCGGCAGCTAAGAGCCTTCGTGAGAACAAGGAAATAGTCGTCAGAAGTGACAAGTCGCCAATATACGTCATTCTTAAAAAAGACGAATATCTGGCGAAAATGAACCTCATACTCTCTGACCAAACTAAATTCCAAAGGGTAACGAAGGACACTACAGCCGAATTGAAAACAAAGGTAAGCAGATTGATCGAAACTGTGAACGCCAAGAAATCCGGACTCCACCTGCCAAAGATTATCGGGATTTTCATATAAAAGGGGTGACGCCGAGGAAAATAAGACTCGCGTCCCTACCAAACCCGGGTATGCGTATGGAAATGTCAAGACACACAAGCCTGGAAACCCACTTTGGCCAATCATCAGCCAGATACCCACACCCACGTACAGACTGGCGAAGCGACTCAATGGCTTGCTGACTCCTTATGTACCTTGTGCTTTCAGCCTGAAGTCTCCAAAGGAATTTGTTGACTTACTGCGGGGAACACGGGCCACGGGGATAAGAGCCTCGTTGGACGTAGAATCACTGTTTACCAACGTACCTGTGGATGAAACAATCGGGATGATAGCGGACAGAGTGTATCGTGATCCGGCCTGTACTCCTCTTGACATACTAGAAAACATCCTAAGGAAACTACTCCAAGCTTGTACTAAAGAGGCACCCTTCATGAGCCCTGATGGACACATGTATAAGCAAGTAGATGCGGTCGCAATGGGTTCTCCCCTAGGTGTCCTGTTTGCGAACTTCTACATGGGTACCATCAAACAGAAGGTCTTAGTTGACATGAACTTGAAACCTGCCATATACTTCAGGTATGTTGACGACATTTTTACACAAGTACCTGATGTCAGACGTCTGCAGGAGCTGAAGGAGGCATTCGAGCGGAATTTTGTGTTGAGTTTCACTTACGAGATGGAGAAGGATGGGAAGCTGCCCTTTCTAGATGTAACAGTCATGGAAAGGAGCAGAGGTTTCCACACTGCAGTCTACACTAAGGAAACAAACATAGGAATGTGCCTCAATGGCAACAGTGACTGCCCAGACAGGTACAAGAGGAGTGTTGTCAACGCTGACGTTGACCGTGCTCTCAGCCACAGCTCAGGATGGAAGAAAGTCGATGAAGAATTCTGTAGGGTTCTCTAAACAACGGCTTCTCCAATGGTTTCGTTGAAGACATTATAAAAAGGAAGGTGAAACGCCATGCAACCTCTGAAGAGTCAACTAACACAACACCTGTACCCCTATTAGACTATTTTACATGAACTTCTTTTCCACAGCTCATAAAACGGAGGAAAGGGTCCTGAAAGATATTGTTAATAGGAACGTTATCCCTACAGACAAAAATCAGAAGATACAACTGACGATTTACTATAAAACCAAAAAAAAAGCGGCCAACCTACTCATGAAAAACTCTCCAGACACAAAGCAGAACGCCTTAAAGGAAACCAACGTCGTCTATGCCTTCAAATGCCCACTTGGGGACTGTAAGCCCCAAAGAACTCAGTATATAGGCAAGACAATAACATCTCTTTCCAGGCGATTAACAATGCATAAGCAACAGGGTTCCATTAAGGAACATATAATCTCTTTCCACAACCAGACCATCACCAGAGAAGTCTTAACAAACAACACAGAAATCATCGATAGATACAGCGATAGCAGGCGGCTTGACATCTGCGAGGCACTACACATCAAAAAGTCAACACCAGCAACCAACACCCAATTAATGCACAACTATATTCTACCCACTTCAAGACTCCGTACCAATATAGAAGCATCAAGAGGAAGTATGGGCCAATAGGCCCTTTGCAGTTACCTCCATTCTTCCCTCTCATTTATCCAATTAATATCCATTGTTCCGTGTTCTGTCATGTGTTGGTCAAAAGTTTGTTCATCTCATCCAAAACTGTTGCAACATATCACCTCACCCAAATGCGAGCATATAAGACAAACTGTTTAGTTTAGGCATAAGTAAAACTCTGTTTAGTGTTTTCAGGTTACAGCTGTGTGTGTAAACTAAAGTCTTTGAAAATGTAATACGTTATTACGAAACGCGTTCAAGCGTCGCGTCAGACTAGAATTAAAAAGGAATTTTGGAGAATTGATTTTTCAATTACCATCGACAGTAAAAAGAAACATAAGAAATATTGAGAAAATTCGTGTTAGAATTATTAATCTTACTTTTTCGGTTATATTTAACAACACAAGAATGACTGCTACCAAAATATACTATTATATAATAGTGCTAAATACAATTATACGTGATTCTAAGAGCCGCCATTTTGCTTAACATATAACAAAATACACAAAGAGTATTTGAGGAATTAAAGCATCCTGTTGGTAGACGTCTGGGATTACCGTCGTGCTCCTGCCTGTATGGAGGCCTGCTCGCCCGGTCACTCTCGGCCGAGTTGACATGAACACACAAGAGGCTCTGAAACAGCGGAACTGGTCCTAGGGTCTCAGACCACAGCCGAACTGGACCCAGGGTCTCAGGCCACAGTGGAACTGGTCCCAGGGTCTCAGGCCACAGCGGAACTGGTCCCAGGGTCTCAGGCCACAGCGGAACTGGTCCCAGGGTCTCCGGCCACAGCGGAACTGGTCCCAGGGGTCTCAGGCCACAGCAGAACTGGTCCCAGGGGTCTCAGGCCACAGTGGAACTGGTCCTAGGGTCTCAGGCCACAGCGGAACTGGTCCCAGTGTCTCAGGCCACAGCGGAACTGGTCCCAGGGTCTCAGGCCAGAGCGGAACTGGTCCCAGGGGCCTCAGGCCACAGCAGAACTGGTCCCAGGGTCTCAGGCCAGAGCGGAACTGGTCCCAGGGGTCTCAGGCCACAGCAGAACTGGTCCTAGGGTCTCAGGCCACAGCAGAACTGGTCCTAGGGTCTCAGGCCACAGCAGAACTGGTCCCAGGGGTCTCACGCTACAGCAGAACTGGTCCTAGGGTCTCAGGCCACAGCGGAACTGGTCCCAGGGTCTCAGGCCACAGCGGAACTGGTCCCAGGGTCTCAGGCCACAGCGGAACTGGTCCCAGGGGTCTCAGGCCACAGCAGAACTGGTCCTAGGGTCTCAGGCCACAGCAGAACTGGTCCCAGGGGTCTCACGCTACAGCAGAACTGGTCCTAGGGTCTCAGGCCACAGCAGAACTGGTCCCAATGTCTCAGGCCACAGCGGAACTGGTCCCAGGGGTCTAAGCCACAGCAGAACTGGTCCCAGGGGTCTCAGGCCACAGCAGAACTGGTCCCAGGGGTCTCAGGTCACAGCAGAACTGGTCCCAGTGTCTCAGGCCACAGCGGAACTGGTCCCAGGGTCTCAGGCCACAGCGGAACTGGTCCCAGGGGTCTCAGGCCACAGCAGAACTGGTCCCAGGGTCTCAGGCCAGAGCGGAACTGGTCCCAGGGGTCTCAGGCCACAGCAGAACTGGTCCTAGGGTCTCAGGCCACAGCAGAACTGGTCCCAGGGGTCTCAGGCCACAGCAGAACTGGCCCCAGGGGTCTCAGGCCACAGCAGAACTGGTCCTAGGGTCTCAGGTCACAGCGGAACTGGTCCCAGTGTCTCAGACCACAGCAGAACGGGTCCCAGTGTCTCAGGCCACACCAGAACTGGCCCCAGGGGACTCAGGCCACAGCAGAACTGGTCCGAGGGTCTCAGGTCACAGCGGAACTGGTCCCAGTGTCTCAGACCACAGCAGAACGGGTCCCAGTGTCTCAGGCCACACCAGAACTGGCCCCAGGGGTCTCAGGCCACAGCAGAACTGGTCCTAGGGTCTCAGGTCACAGCGGAACTGGTCCCAGTGTCTCAGACCACAGCAGAACGGGTCCCAGTGTCTCAGGCCACACCAGAACTGGCCCCAGGGGTCTCAGGCCACAGCGGAGCTGGTCCCAGGGGTCTCAGGCCACAGCAGAACTGGTCCCAGTGTCTCAGGCCACAGCGGAACTGGTCCCAGGGGTCTCAGGCCACAGCAGAACTGGTCCCAGTGTCTCAGGCCACAGCGGAACTGGTCCCAGGGGTCTCAGGCCACAGCAGAACTGGTCCCAGTGTCTCAG